ATATATATATATATATATATAAACACACGTTGGGTTTGCTAGTGAGTTGACGAAAAAGGAAAGGCGAAGAAAGTTTGGCGCTGCATTCATTTGCTGCTCTTCGCTCTTTAGTGTTTTCGTTTGCTGTTTAGGGGGCTTCAAGCCTAAACCCTAAACCCTAAGACTGTAGAGCAAGCGGGAGGAGGAGTTCATTCGTCTGGGGTGTACAGACAGATGCTGCGTAGCAAACGACTGGGGGCCCCCTCAACTCGCCAAGGGGCCCCTCTCCTGCTTTGCTGCTGCTGCTAGACTGCAGCAGCAGCAGCAGCAACAGCAGCAAGAGAGCTGCAGCAAGACAGATAGAGCAGGTGCCTGTACACCTGAAGCAGCTCCCCTTCCCTCCCCAGCCGTAAAGAAAAACAAGAAGAAGGAAGCTCTTCTTTCTTTACTAGCTGCCTATACACCGCAAGACCCGCAACTAGGTAGAGAAACTCAACTCTCAGTACAAACCATATAATAAATCAACAAACCATAAGAAAAACAGATAAAACAAATAAACAAAAACAAAAAGAATCTAAAGAAAAGGCGTTCACGCAAAACCCCTCGACTCAGGTAGCCGCAGCAGCAGTACAAGCTTGAAGGGTTTGCTGCATTCTTTGTTTAATATATACAAATAATAATCTCAAGATATTTCTTTTTTTAATTTATTTATAAAGATTAAAACAAAAAATTAAAATAACTCCCTTACATCTCAACTGTAGCAGCAGCCGACAACGCTCGCCCACCGGGCGGTCCAGTGGCGCTGCCGAAACCCTAAACCCTAAACCCTAAACCCTAAACGCTAAACCCTAAACCCTAAACCCTAAACCCTAAAGCCTAGGCCAGTTATATGAAATAAAAGAGCTTTTTTCATGTGAATTTCGTCTTCTTTGCTGGCAGGTGGTAGATTGAACAATGAATTACTGTAGCACGCGGGGGTCCCTAGAGTGTCTCCTCAACTGCAGCAGCAGCAGCAGCAGCAGCAGCAATAGCACTAGCAGCAGCAGTATCAGCATCAGCAAAAAACCATCAACAGCAGCAGCAGATTCAGCAGCAGCAGAATCTGGTAGCCCTCTACCCTGTTCTTGTTATGTGCTTCGGGGTCTCAGCTGTCTGCTAGTTCATGAGGTCCCCTCGACTGTTTGCTGCAGCTGTTTGTGCTGCTGCAGCAGCAGCAGTAGCAGCAGCTTGGAGACCCCCTGAGCTTCTAGGATGGTACTCGCCAGCGAAAGACAGGCGGCTGCAGATGGGGCCTGCTGAGGGCCCCGATGAGGGCGATCGGGCATCGCCAGAAGCAGCAGCAGCAGCAGCAGCAGCAGCACCTGAAGCAGCAGAGAGGCACCAAAGCACCAAAGGGTCTACAGCAGCAGCAGCAGCGCCTGATGCCTCAACTGAAGACAAAGTGCTGCAGAGTGTTTTGGTAGAAAGGAGACACCAAAGAGAACTCGAAAGAACCGTGGCTTCACCTCTGCAGCAGCAACAGCAGCAGCAGCAGCAAAAGAAGCAGCATAATAAGCAAGAGAAGATGGGCAGAGATGCAAATAATATGATTCGCCAGACTCAGGCAGAGATCTTAGCTGCTATTCAGGAGTGGCAAATAGCTGTAGACGGAGCAGCTGAGACAAGGAAGGAGAAGCAACAGCAGCAGCAGCAGCTGCAACAGCAGCAGCAGCAGCAACAGCAGCAGCAACAGCAGCAGCTGGAACCTTTGCTGCTCGTGGGCGCACTCGACTCAGGAATCGAAGGCCTCTCCAAAGCCTTCCTGCCTCTCGTTCCTGCAAGCCCAACCACCAGCAGCAGCAGCAGCAGCAGCAGCAGCAGCAGCACGACGAGCACGACTACCACGCCTTCTCCAGCAGCAGCACGAAAGAGCGAAGCAGCAGCAGCTGAAGAAGACCCGTGCAGAAGAGCGAAGCAGCAGCAGCTGAAGAAGACCCGTGCAGCGATGCTGCTTCGCTTGCTGCAGCACAAGCAGCAGCAGCAGCAGGCCTGGAGCCCGTGGCTGCGCTTGCGGCGGCGGGGAGGGAGGAGCTGCTGGCAGCAGCAGCAGCAGCAGCAGTTTCTGCTGAGGGTTCCGGGCACATCGTAGGGGAGCTCTTCAGCAAGCTGGGTCCCCCTGCAGTGTTGCAGTTCGAAGCAGTAAGCGCAGCAGCAGCAGCAGGCGCAGCAGCAGCAGAAGGAGCAGCAGAAGCAGCAGAAGCAGCAGGAGCAGCAGCAGCAGCAAGCGAGTCACCCCCGCGTTTGCTGCTGGAAAGCCTTAGAGACATCACTAACAGCAGCATGTACTTCAGGGTGCAGGCTGTGCAGCCTCCAACAGCAGCAGCAGCAGCAACAGAAACAGCAGCAACAGCAGCAGCGCCAGGGACTCACTTGCTTTTGAGGCTGGAGCGAAGCAGATTGGCAGCAGCACAGGACGAGGCATTTGCTGCAGCAGAAGAGAGACAGAAGCGCATGCAAGCGGGGCTGCGGTTGCTGCAGCTGCAGCAGCAGATAGAGCCGTTGCTAGACGAAGACCAGCAGCAGCAAAGCGAGACCCAGCAGCAGCAGCAGCAGCAGTCTCCGCAGCAAGAAGCCGCCCTAAAGGAGGTGCGACGCCACCTGCTGATGCCTATTTTCATAGGCCAGCTGTCTCTTCCTTCTCCTGTAGTTGCTGCAGCAGGGCGCGATTTGCTGCTGAATTGGGGAGAGCTGTACCCGGACGCCTTCTTGCGGCTGCAGCAACTCCCGCTGCTGCTGCCGTCAAGCCAGTGGTTTGCTGCGCTGCAGCTGCTGAAGGCAGCAGCAGCATTGCAGAGCGCTGGGCTGCATATGAAGGCCTTGGGGCCTGCAGCACCGTGGATTAGCACTGACGGGCGTCTGCTGCTCGAAGGTGTACATACACTTGAGCAGCAGCAGCAGCAGCAGCAGCAGCAGGTGCTGTGCGAGGAAGAAGAAGTGATAGACCCCCCTTGGAAAGCATATCTACCCCCAGAGAAGGCCTTTTGCGGGGCTTCAGTGCCGGCTAAGGAGAAGCAGCTGTGGGAGCAGCAGCAGCAGTTGCTGCTGCAGCAGCACAAAAACGATGTTCGTGCTGCTGCTGCTGCTGCTGCTGCAGCAACAACAGCATGGGGCCTCGGGCTGCTGCTCTTTCATATCTTCTGCACCGCTCGCCTCCCCTACAGAATCTCTCCAGTTGCAAGCGAAGCAGACAGGTTGCAGCAGTTGCGGCGTTTGTACAACTCAGCAGCAGCAGAAAGCAGCAGCAGCAGCACCAGCAGCAAGGGGCTGAACCTACAGACATGTGGCTCTGATGCTCGTGCCCACCGCTTGCTGCATGCGCTGCTGCAGCTAAACCCCAGCCATCGAGCTTCTCCTGCTCGTTTGCTGCAGCAGCTGCTGCGGGAGGAGGAGCTTGTAAAGGGCAAGACGTAATCAGCAGCAGCAGCAGCAGCATCAGCAGCAGCAAATACAGCAAATCTGGAGTGTTCATTTAAATGCTTTTTACCAGGGGGTTGGCGTTGGGGTGTAGCAGCAGCAGCAAATCTTCAGTCGCTTCTGCTGCTGTGCTGCAACTAAACCCTAAACCCTAAACCCTAAACCCTAAACATTTTTCTCATTGCAGCATCGCTGCATAAACCCTATTCTTTCGCTGGGGCACTTCAGCTCTCAAGGTACAACCGAAACACCTTAGGGTTTAGGGTTTAGGGTTTAGGGTTTAGAATAGCCTGCTGCCCAGATATGCCCGCAGCAAGGGCCTCCCGTTATAGTGTATAGAGGAGAAAACCCTAAACCCTAAAGCATAAACCCTAAAAACCCTAAACCCTAAGGCATAAACCCTAAACCCTTAAGCTTAAACCCTGAGTTCCCACTAAAAGTTGCTTCGCCTGAGCAGAGGGGCGCGCCGAGGAAGCAACGAAAAGGAGACAAAAGAAAACAGCAGCAAAAGGAGACAGCAGCAAGAAGAGACAGCAGCAATAGAGGGCTTTATTTAAATTCATAGCTCAGAGACAAGCCACCCAGTACTACAGAAGGATTCCCGCTTCAAGCTGCTGCTACACTTGTTGCTGAATTGCTGCTGCTGCTGCTGCTATTGCTGCTGCTGCTCGGACCGCGGGCCGTGCGCTCGCAGTTGCTGCAGCAGCAGCAGCCCTAGTGCAGCAGCAAGCGCTGCAGCAGCAAGTGCTGCAGCAGCAGCCCTAGTACGGCAACAGCAGCAGCAAGTGCAGCAGCAGCAAGTGCTGCAGCAGAAATTGTGTCTACTTAGTTGGTTTTGCTGCTTAAAGAGAAGAAGTCTGTGATGCGCCCTCCTCGTTTCTTTGCCCCAACTTCCTGTTGCTGCTGCTGATTCTGCCGCTTGTGCTGCTGCAGCTTCTGCTGCTGCCTAGGTCGCGGTGGTGCTGGCAGCATCTGCACGGGGGGGCCTCCAGCGGAGCTGGAGGCGAGCCACCCGCGTCTCTGCAGCTGTGCTTCTGCTGCTGCTGCTCCAGGACTTATTGCTGCTGTTGCTGCTGGTGCAGCAGCAGCAGCAGCAGCGGGTGTTGCTGCTGGCGAATTTGGCGTTCGCCCCCTCATAGCGCTAACTGCTTTCTGAAGACCCGAGAAGGGAGTAGCAGCATGGCCTAGGCTGGACCCCTGTTGCTGCTGCTGCTCGTGCTGCTGCTGCTGTTGCTGCTGCTGTTGCTGCTGCTGTTGCTGTTGCTGATGCTGCTGCTGCATGAAGAGTTGCTGGAGGTGGCCGCCGCTCGTTGCAGCTCGAAGGGCAGCAGCAAGCCCTCCGCCTCCTGCCTGCGAGGATTGGAGTGCCTTCTTTGCTGCTGCTGCTTGCTGCTGCTGCTGCTGCTGCTGCCTAGCATTCTCTTTTTGTTCCTGATGGATCTCCTGCTGCTGACCTGTTTTTTGTTGCTGCTGCTGCTTCTGTTTTTGCTGCTGCAGCGACAACTCTTCTGTCTCTTGTACCTGCTGCGGTGCTCCTTGCTGCCTGTCTGTTTCCCGCTTTTGCTGTTCTGCTTTCTGCTGCTGCTGCTGCTGCTCTTCCTCCTGCTGCTGCTGCTGCTGCTGCTGTGCTGCTTGCTGCCTCTCTTCTGGAGTTAGGGGCGTCATATCGCAGTGACTGACGAATTCGCAGTACTTGCACTTCCACCGCTCAGAGCTCTGCAGCAGCAGCAGCAACAATAGCAGCAGCAGCAGCAACAATAGCAGCAGCAGCAGCAACAATAGCAGCAGCAGCAGCAATAGCAATAGCAGCAGCAGCAGCAATAGCAATAGCAGCAGCAATAGCAGCAGTAATAGCAGCACCAGCAGCAATAGCAATAACAGCAGAAATAGCAATAGCAGCACCAATAGCAATAGCAATAGCAGCAGCAATAGCAGGAGCAGCAGCAATAGCAGCAGCAGCAGCAGCAGCAACAGCAGCAGCAACAGCAGCAGCAGCTTTACCCCAACTCCTTCAGTGAGTCTTTCTCCCCTCCACCAGGCCAACAGGTCGTTAAAAGCAAACGAGAAGGCCCCCCAATTAAAAGGCACCCGCTCGCGAGCGAAGATCTTCCCTGCAGCAGAACCAGCAGCAGCAACAGCAGCAGCAGCAGCAGCAGCAACAGCAGCATGACCAGCAGCTATAGTTACACGGGCAGCAATAGAGGAGAGTGCAGCAACTCGAGCAGCGACTTAGGCAGCAGCAAGACAAATGCCGCCGAGCAAACGCTCACTGCGAGCAGCAGCAGCAGCAGCAGCAGCAGCAGCAGCAACAGCAGCAGCAACAGCAGCGGCAGCACAACCCACCTTGGCACTCATAGACAATGTGTAGCTCCTCAGCTGGAGGGGGCAGCTTCCGCAGCAGCTGCTGCAGCAACAACAGCATCGTTTTTAGACTCGGTGCTTCGCTGCTGCTGGTGGGTGGGCTGCTGCTGCTGCTGCTGTTGCTCCTGCAGTAGCTGCTGCTGCAGTGCATCCGCTGCATCTGCTGCTGCGTCTCCTCAAGCCCTTGCAGCAGCAAAGGAGACTGAAAGGGCTCCAAAACTTCTGTCCCCTCTGCTTCTGCCAGCAGCTGCAGCAGGTGCAGCAGGTGCTGCGGCTCCTGCTGCTGCAGCAGCTGCACCATGAAGCTGTAGATCTACAGAACAGCAGCAGCAGCAACAACAACATGAACAGCTTTAGCAGCAGCAGCTGCTGCGGCGTCCGAGGGGGCAAATGCGGTGCAGCAGAGCAGCGTAGCGCAGCAAGAGGCAGCAGCAGCAGCAGCAGTAACAGCAGCGCTCATGCAAAGCAAGCTAAAAGAAGAGACAGCAGCAGCAGCAGCAGGGCTTCGTACCTGAAGCTGAATTGCTGCTGTTTGCTTCTGCGATAGAGACGGCACCGTTGGCTGTCTCCTTGTCTTGGTGTCGCTAATAAGCAAGAAGGCCTCCCCCCTAAACCCTAGCTGCTGCAGGGCACACAGCATGCAGCCGCAGCTGCTACAGCTGCTGCAGCTGCAGCGAGACAAGCTGCTGCTGCTGTTGCTGCTGCTATCGCCAACTTTGTTGCTGCTCTTATGCAGCTGCTTCATACGCTCCAGCACTGGGGTGTACGTACACCCCACGCGCTCCCTCACAACAAGGCTCAACTCATCCATTATGCCTCTCAACAAGATTTCACCGCTGCTGCTGCTGCTGCTGCTGCTGCTACAGGGCACTGCGGGGTTTGGGTTGGCGAGGAGATACACCTCGCGGCAACAGCCGCGCCGCAGCAGCTGCAGCAGCTGCTGCAGCGAGTTAAGCAGCCTAAAGCCAACAAACTGCAGCAACAGGAACAGCACAAAAGAGCAGCAGACAGCAGATGCAGCAGCAGCAACATCAGCAGCAGCAGCAGCAGCAGCAGCAGGGGTTCTTACGTCTTGTGCGTGCGTAACCTCTAGAGGCCAATACAAGTGAAACTGCATTTCTATAGCAGCATGCTGCTCCGTCCCTGATATATAAACAAAGCAAACAAAGCTCGTTAAAGCCTTGTGCTGCTGCTGCAGTAGCAGCAGCACTCGAAGCAACAGCAGCAGCAGCATTAGAAGCACCAGCAACACCCCTACGATCAGCAGCAACAAGATGCAGAAGCATGCTGAGGCTGCTGCTGCTTTCCAGGCAGAATACCTCAACGTCAAGTGCAGCATCAATAACAGCAGCAGCAGCAGCAGAGTGTGCAGGAACACTAGCAGCAGCATTAGCTGCAGTGGCAGCAGCAGCAGCAGCAAAGTGGATAAGCACTAGCAGCAGCATCGACACAAGCCGCAGCAGCATTATCAGCATCAACAGCACCACCAACATCAGCAGCACCATCAGCATCAGCAGCAGTAACAGCAGCAGCAACAGCAGCAGCAGCAGCAGCAGCAGCAGGAGCAGCTTGCCTTGTCTCATTGCTGCTGTCGTTTTCTTCTTTGTGTCTGTCCTTAAATATAACTCTGTTTGGCGGTCGCACCAAACTTGTGAAGAAAAATCTGTTGCAGACAAAACAAAGCGCTTCCGAGATAACAGGGGACCCAAGTACTTCAATTCTAAACCCCCCAAGCTGCTGCTGCTGCTGCTGCTGCTGCTGCTGCTGCTGTCGGCAGCAGCAGAGGCACAGACAGAGCTGCTCGCTAAAACGAGGTCTTCGATGTCTCCACAAGCATCCTGCCAAGGTCCCGCCTGCTGCTGCTGCTGCGTGTCCTGCTGCTGCTGCTGCGTGTTCTGCTGCTGCCGCTGCTGCTGATGCTGTGTGTCGTGTTGCTGCTCCTCGCTCTGTCTCCGCAGCAGGACCGTTGCTTGAGAAGCGTCGCTTCCATCCTGGCTGCTCAGCAGCAGAGTTGCTGCTGCTGCTGCTGCTGGTCCGGATGATGCTGCAGTTGCATGATTCGAAGAGTTTGCTTCTAGTGTAGACTGAGCTGCTGCTGCTGCTGCTGCTGCTGCTGCGGCTGCGGTCTTCCCTTTTGCTGCCTCCTCCGTCCCGCTTGTTAATTCATTTACCCCTGCAGCACTTCTTGCTGCATCTGCTGCTGCTGCAGTAGCATCTGCACCAGCTGATGCTGCTGCTCCTTCTGCGGCAGGAGCAGCTGCTGCTGTTGTTGCTCCTTCTGCGGCCGCAGCAGCTGTTGGTGTTGTTCCTGCAGCAGCAGCAGCAGCTGTTGGTGTTGTTCCTGCAGCAGCAGCAGCTGCTGCTGCACTTTTATCTTTGAGGGATTGGCTTCTCTTTACATCGAAGAAGACAATCTTCCCTCCGTCTGCATGCGCTGCAGCAGCAGCAGCAGCAAAACTATCCCACGTGCGTTCTTCTACCTCTTTAGATTCCGGGGCGGCATCCGCAGCAGGTGCAGCAGCAGCAGCAGCAGCCGCTCCTGCTGCTGCTGCTGCTGTGCCGTTCGTCATGGAAGCATCAGCAACTGAGCGCGGTGTCGGCTGCAGCAGCAGCAGCAGCAGCAGCAGCAGCAGCAGCAGCAGCACCAGAAGCGGTGACTGGGGGGTTAGTAAGCAGCCCTGGCCCCCCTTTCCCCCTTGTCAAGGATGATACACCCTCAGTGGGAGAAGCAGCAGCAAGAGCTATATCAGCAAGAGCAGCAGCAGCAGCAGCAGCAGCAAATCGGAGAAGAAGGGGGGCGTAGAGGTGTTGCTGCTGGCTGGGGGCACAGCCCTGGTGAATATCTTTGTTGCTTTTCCTAAGACAAGAAATAAAAAGCCAATTCAAAATGCGTTTTTGTTCTGCTGCTATTGCTGCTGCTGCTGCAGTTGCTGTTGCTGTTGCTGCAGCAGCAAACTGCTCGCGGTCGGGAGGTGTTAGGGTGGGGGGCCCCCCAGCCTCTCAGCAGCAGATGTTAATACAGCAGTTATATATCTTTATCTGCAATATTTATTTTAATAATTAAAATAAGAGCAAAGAAAACCCTTTAAAGGGATGTTTCACGTCGTGTTGCTGTTTCTGCTGCTGCAGCTGCTGCTGCTGCTGCAGCAGGGACTGCCGACACCCTCCTGCTGCAGCGCAACTGCAGCAAATGCAGCAACCCGTTCCAGGTGTCTCTACAGCTTAATAAGCCATCTTATTGCATGCGTCTGCATGCATGCACCAGGTGTACGTACAGCTGCCCCCTCTTCAAAACCCAGCAGCAGCACTCAGCACTCCTCTCTTCGCTCCTAAGGCCCCAGCGCTGAGTCCCCACAACTCTAAGAAATAGCTAGCTAGCTAGCTAGCTAGCTATCTGGATAGCTAGATAGCCAATTCCATAGCTAGCTAGCCGCCTGTCTGTCTGTCCTGCCCCTCGGGGCCCTCCCCCTTCCCTATTCAGGTAGCTAGCTAGCTAGCTAGCTACCTAGCCCAGCCCCCTAACTAGGTACCTAGTTAGCTAGTTAGCTAGCTACTTAGCTTGCAAGCTAGTTAGCTAGCCAACTAGCTAACTAGCTACGTAGCTAGCTAGCCAGATAGTTAACTGCCAACCTAGGAAGCTAGCTAGCCAGCTAGCTAACTAGCAACCTAGCTAACTAGCAACTTAGCTAACTATCAACTTAGCAATCTACCTAGCCAGCTAGCTGGATAGCTAGCTACTTATGACGCCAGCTGGGCAGCTAGCTAGCTGACGAACTGTGGGGACCCGGGCACAAGGCGCTCGCGAGCACTGGCCGCTACGCTAGGCGAAGTTTTCCTGTTCCTGCTGCTGTTGTTGCTGCATGTGTTGCTGCTGCATGCGTTGCTGCTGCATGTGCTGCTGCTGCACTTGTTGCTGCTGCTAGAGGGAGAAGAGACAAAAATCGAACAGCCGATAACTTAGGGCCAATCGAATTAAAACAAAGACAGGCGGAGAGAGAAGTCTCTCAAGGTTGTTTGCATAAGGGGACGGGAGGAGGAGACAGTTGCTGTCTGTCTCCTTTGTCTGTCTTTAGTTTGTCTGTCTCTTTATTTTTTATCTGTCTTCATTTTGTCTATGGTCTCTATATTATTTTATCTGTCTCTTCTTCTTTTGTCTCTTCTTAGTATACTCTCTTCATCGGGGGCACCGCCTCCATTTCAGCGTCAAGCGGCTGTCCCTTCACAGGCCGGTAAGACAGCTCAAACTGCAGCAGCAGCAGCAATAGTAGCAGCAACAGTAGCAGCAGTAGCAGCAATAGCAGCAGCAGCAGCAGAGGAGATGATACACACGACCAAAGAAGAGACAGAAAAAGAGATAAACAGCAGAATCAGACAGTTTAAAGGGACAGGAGAAGAGACAAAAAGAAATGAAGTAAAAAAACAGAGGAGACAAAAGAGACAATAAAATGAAGAGGAGACAAACAAAGACAGGAGGAGACAGGAGGAAACAGGGAGAAAAAAGAGACAAAAGACTCAACCTTAAAACCTAAACCCTAAACCCTAAACCCTAGAAAAAAAGACATACAAAAAGAGACAGAGGCAAGAGCAGCAGGGAGAAGACAAACGGAGACAGAAGAGACAAGAGACACAAAAGAGAGAGGAGACAGTAAAAGAGACAACAGAGACACCTGTCTCTCCTTCCCTCTCACCTGAGCATTCTCTACATCTCTGCCCTTTTGAAAGGACAACGTGTGCACCATCCACTCCTCATCGTTGC